ATTTCCGCTATTCTCTTTTTCATTCCTAATGAAAATCTAAGATGAGATCAAATGCTTTGTTTTCTGCCGAAAAGTCGCGGTTTACGCGTGTTCTACATTTTTTCGCCACTATCCACAAAAATAACGCTTTTTTATAGCGATTGTTGTACAAGTTATTTTGAATAAATTCAGCTCGTTACTTTTAAAATTACATCAATTATCTGGACTGAATACCCGTAATTTATCATGCCCCCAAAAAAACGAATTTCCTCTCGTGTGTAGATTTTTTGGAGGAAATTTTCAAATCAGCAACGTAATATTGTTATTTACAAAATTGTATAAATCTCATCTGGGATTTTACTGAAAATATTGGTGTATTATTTATTTGAGGGGAGTGTCAAGTTATCAAAGGTTTTTTGCAATGATATTTTTGGGTGAATGAGGAAATTGTTCATTTAGGTAGTAGCTACAGGGCTCTTAAAGGAAATTATAGATTCTTATCTAAAAACCTTGCTATCATTAAAACGCACCGGACGAGATAAATTTTAAAGTTTCATTAGAATCGGGTGATAAATGGTTAGATATTTCTTCATGTTTGGAATAAATTTAGATACTGCAGATGCATAATTATTTAGTACACATTATGGTAATTATTCACAATTTAATTAAATTATCTGGCATCTCTATTAATGTATGCAAACGTGTTTACAACGAAAATGATTGTCTCCAATATTTTCGGCATAAATCACTTCAACAAGAATAATTTTGATCACATTTGAAATTGTATAATTTTTAGTGTAATTGTTTTTCTCTTTGAAAATTTGCACCGGAGCGTTCTATGTGTCACCCAACGTATATGTTTGTTTATTTTTCCTTTGCTATATCTTCTAATCGCTAGAACGTGACTCCGGATGAGAGTAAACAGAACACTGAATATCTTTGCCTTATATAGCTTTTCCTTTTAATGAATAACGTCGTACTGATATTACTACGACAAACAAGTCCCAAATCAATAATTTTTGAACACCTTTTATCAACATTTAGGGCCGCAGGATCTCAAATCTTTATTCAAATAAATCTGAAAGGATTTCCAATTTATGCAAAAAGCTTTATGACTTTGTTCAGATCTTTAAACATTTAGTTCGTTTGTCATAGGTCATGTCTAAATGATCTTTTTGTAACTGTATTCATATGCATTTAACAAGCTTGAATTCTATGAATGTCATTATTAAACTTTGTCGTCTAATAGTTCACGAAGTTGTGTATCTGAGTGCTCAAATAATTTCAAACATGTTATGCACTTTTGTTTATTTATTTTAAACATGGTCTTTGCACAAAATACGAAAATTAAATTTTAATTAGAAGACTTGTGGTTGGTGACACTTAGGAAGAGCTAAGGGTTAGGACTTCCTTGCCTTACCGATAGTTAAGGATCCTTTAAATTAGGGGCAATTTTAGTCATTATTTAGTATCAAGTAAAACGTGGCTCCGTAGAATAAATGTAGCATACTTCCCTAAAATTAGGTAGAAGGAAAATTGCGCACAAAACGAATTATACCAAGGTAATGTTTCTTTGTGACTTGTTATGTGTGTTTTGACGTATTAGTTTCGCCAACGCCGTTACCATTCTTCTGTAGAAAACTCGTAAAACTCCTTATTTCGCATATTTCTGTGCTAAAAGTAGACCAATTTTTTTGAATAGCATTTTTTTTGCTTCCACAACATTGCGTAAACATCTAATGTTAGTGTTATATATTTTTGGTGGAAAGTAGGGCAATATTAAATCCATTTATAAACAAAACTAATCTAATTAGCGTCTTTTTCACGCCGCAACTTTTAACTAAATTTCTAACTTAACGCAGTTATTCGAACTAACTGTTTTTAAATGATTAAGTTTCTCTAATAACCCAAGTAACAGCAATCGAAAGTTAATTAAGAGTTAAACTCATGAATATGTACCCCAAATTAAGTAATAAAAGTCTAAACTGAGTTTAAAATTGCTTTAACAAAAATTACATAAGCCTGCAAAAACTAATTTTTTAAATTACTTCAGATTTGTTGACTGATTTGTGTGTAAGTTTTAATACTGATTAAAAAGAATTCTATCCTTAAAGGTATTTCACAAATAGAAATAAAAATGTAAAACATTACACAAAATCCAATATTGTGTTTTAATTTTTATAACACATGCTAATACAAGGCTCTTCACATATAATATTGACCCTGAACGTGTTTAAGGCACACAATAAATTTACATAGATACTTTGAAAAGTCAAAAAACAATAATGAAAAATTAGATCTACAATGGCTTTGCTACATTTATGTCTGTTTCTGATGTTTACATTTGGTTTAATTTTTTTACAGAAATGTATACGAGCAATGAAAAAAACAAATATTAACAGAATACAGTTTTGTGAATTTTTAAGAAGGCAACAAGAGCTAAATCTTATTTTTTTTAATCAAATTTTGTTTTGTGATGAAGCTCGTTTTAGAAATAACACAGGAGTAAATAGACACAACTACCACTGTTACGCTCAAGAAAATTTGCATTGGATTAAAACTAATCGTTTTCAAAGAATTTTTTTTAAATATTTGGTGCGGATGCGATGACTTTATTATTGAGCCCCATTTTTTTGCTAGAAATTTAACTGGTAAAATGTATCGTAATTTTCTTGAAAATAAATTGCCAGTTTTGCTAGACCCATTGCTCTTTTTTGATTTTGGTTTCGACAAGATGGGTTTCCCCACATTTTCACACAATAATTTGTAACTATTTAGACTAAAATTATAAAAATGTCTGGATTGTTAGAGGCAATAGGCATTCTTGGCCTCCACAAAGCCCCGATCTTACATCATTAGATTATTTTTTGTAGGTGGCAATGAAAAAAAAAGGTTATGAAACTTTAGTATTAGATGAAATCGATTTAAGGAATCAAATCATTAATTACTGTAGGCAGTGGCATATTAACCCAATTTGGCGCCCAAAGCCCTAAGAAAATTTTGGCCCCTCTCCTCATTGATTTGTTTCTGTTTCACTAACACATTTTTTACATATTAGTGTTTAATATAGCGTTCTCTTCTTTTCTGTATTAATTTTGCTAATGGTAATGGTGATTGTAAAATTGTTACTTAATAAACGCGAATTGTTTATTTATAGTAATTAGTAATAATACATGATTCAAAAATAGGAAAAAAAAATAGGAGATGATTTAAAAAAACAATAACTGTTATTTAAAAAAACAATGACTGTTGATTCAAAAAAGTTTCTTTCTGGCTTTCTTGTTGGCAAATACGTTAATAATTTTGTCAAAACTGAGAACATTTAGCATTTCATTTTTGTTGCATAGTATTGCTAGTGCGTTTAATTTAAGATTAGGTAATGTAGATATGCGGTAGCGTTTTTTACTCTCTTCAATGCTGAAAACAATATTTCACCTATAAAATTAGTCACCGCTTTAGAAGCGAACATTCTCAACAAAATTACAAGATTGGGGAACAAGTCGTTAATATTTTTCAGCTTCAATTTTTTTACTAAATCCAAAACCTAGAGGTCCTTGATTTAAAGCAATTTGCCTTCCAAGTTATGAAGATCTTCTTTAAGTTTCAACAAACTTTGAGCATTTTTCTTTTGATTTCCTCCGTGGTGATAACTGGAAAGGAGCTCAAAAATCCGAATTCTCCATTACTCTCTAAATACGACTTTCGCCTCTTGGAAAGCTCAGCTTTTAGGTTGTCGATCTGTAGAAAGAAATACCTGGATGCGAAATTCATCTTTTCCGTTGGATTCAACGTCTCGGTCTCCTCGTGTCTCATCAAAATGCTTCAATCTCTTTTTCCTTCTTCTACTGACATACCGGTAACTTGCATTATCACACAATTTGATTGCTTGCAGGATCAATATTCACAGCTTGAAGTTTTTGGTTCGCTTGGTCATTGAACCTCTACTTTTTAGTATTATCAAAATTCAAGAAACCCTTGTGAAAACATTGTTCTAAGAAAAAATAATGACCGTAAATTTATTTTGCTCCGATAAACACGATTTTATTATTCCTTTAAAAAAAAGTCTTTCTCAAAATTTTTCCCCCTTAAAATCTTCGTGACCCGAGCCCGGGCTTCTTAGGCTTCTGCTATAATACGCCACTGACTGTAGGAATGTGTATGAATGTCTCTTCATAGAAGAATTGAGGCTTGTTTAGATATTGAAATTATGTAGTAATAGAAAATAGCAATGTTTAAAGTGAATTTTAAATTTTGTTTGTCATAGTTTTGACACTGACAATTTTTGTTGAATTAAGTGAATTTATGGCTTTCTTGGATTCGCAATATTGATACTATTGGTCCACTTTTCGTAAGGCAATGACTCTGTATTATAATATGTTAATGTTATAAAGTGGAAATTCACAAATATGAAAGCTAAAATATGTTATTAAAAAAGTTTCCAATAAAAAGTTCTTACAGAAAAGATTTTTCTTTTTCTTAAAGCTTCTTTTCCTGTTTTTCTTTTGCAAACCGTTTTCACCTATCACCGATAGTCATTAATGAAATGAAATTTTTGTTTTACTGATTTTTTTATTTAGAAATTATTATTTTTTATTTATAAACATTAATTCTTTCAAGCACCTTCAAATTGATTTATTAAAAGAAAAGCTGTCTTTTCTCCATTAAAACTAGAGTTAATTTAATAGATTTATTTAGAAATCGATGTTTATTTACATACATACATTTAATAATTTAAAATTTAACCTATCTCAAAAATAATGGAAAAAGCAAACCCTAACACGAACAGTGATGGCCGTTTTGGCAACATTTTTTAATATTTTTAACAAATAAAATTATGTGTAAATTAAATTGAACAGTGAGCTGATCTAGATGGTCCTCCAGGAGAGCGAGGGAAGCTTGACGACGTGCAGGAACCCCATTTCAAATCAAATCATTCAAGTCCAAAGCTCAAGGCTGCCAAAGCGCTTTTCAGCGCATGGTCGTTAGAGTTACGCAACCGCAGAAGGAGTTTCTTTGGTTGAGAATTTGTAGCCGGTAGTTTAGGTTCGGTTGTTTTGTTATCGTTGATAAAAGCGTGTTTAGTACGTATTTTATAATTGTTAGATATGTTATCGCTTTCTCTTAATTATTAGCAGGAAGCTTTATCCATATTAACCCGTCTTCGCGTACATTTGTAGAAAATATGAGCAAGCAAGATTCTAACCTCAATGATGGTTTCGTGCCATCGGTTTGGACTTGCGAAGAAGATATACTTAATGATATAATAGAGTATTCATATTATCACCCCAAAGATACGGAAGAAAGGCCCCCAATGCCTGATACTCTTAAAGAGTATTACGCTAATGAAAAGTCAGCGAAAGAGTTAAAATACAATGATTCCGAGAAAGATATTGACGAATCAACGGATTGTAAGGAGTCTGTTTACACTGGGCCGCGAAAGGGACATATTCAGACATCACAAAGTGTAATTCGTGGTATAATTTATTGTTTCAAATATTGTTTTTTTATTTTATAGGTACGCGGAAATTACAAGAGACAGTCTAAGTTTTCGGCTCAAAGTTCTTTGTATGCTAGTTTCGTATCTGCGGACCACAGTAACACTAGCGTAAGTTATATCGTATCATTGATTAAACAATTTTTATATGCGTTTTAGGTTTATGGTAGGGTGAATTCAAGCCAATATAAGCATTCGGCCAACACCAGAAGATATACTGTGGATTTAAAACCTTCGGGTTACAAACGATTATAGTTTCTAGAATTAGTGTTTTAACTAATGTTGTGTTTCTATAAAAATCTGTGTTAATTTTTGTGTTATTTCGAATCATTTATATTTTGATAAATACATTTTTGGTAATCAAGAGTTTTTTTCTATTTCGGTGTCACAAAATGCAACTTTGTAATACTGTTTTTGGCAAAACTGCTTGACTCGTGTCACATTGAAAGTGTTTGTAACACTTATTTTTAATATATTTTTTTTATTTATTTATTATTAATTTTGAAAATAAGTGTGCAGTAAAATTTGGAAACTTAAGCTTGAGGCCCCCCTAGTCTGTTAGTCCGCGGTTGATATTTTTGTCACACTCGGCGAGAAGCAGTTAAAACAAATAAGGAAAAGGCAACACAATTAAATTGGAGTCGTAAAAAGTATTAGTTTTTTTACTGACCGTTTTATTTTGCAACAGTCCGATGCGACAGTCGATCATAACCGTTGAGCCAACCCTTGCTGTGATGTTGTGTGGTTCTGTGCCTTCTTCAAAAAAAGGTCCCCAGCGAGAATCTGGTAAGTGGTAATGCGGTACGGGAAAACCGCGGCCCAAACTGTGGCGAACAGGTTCGGTGCCGACGGTTGTCGAAGGGGTGGCAGCTGTCGAAGTTGGAGTTGTGGGGGCGCGACTGCTGGAATCCACATTGGAGCTCGGACTGGACCATAAATGCGGCCTCTCCGTCACCTGCGGCGAGATTTCTTCGCTCGAGGAAGGGCTCACACTTACATTCGGTGTTGACATTTCTTCTGCAATGCGAACGAATTCAATTAAATTCTTTTATATTTTTATTTCATTCCAGATTCTGTTACATAAAAGTGTGATGTGGACTGCGACTGATGTAATTTAACATTTTGCTCTTTGTTCTTGCATTTGCTTCGTACCCATAAAAGGTTTGTTTTCTTTTCATTTTATTATAATCATGACTTCGGTGTCACTCCTATTATTTATTCGCGTTTTATTACCACTTCTGGATTTGCCACCGGGAAGCTTTTACTAAATTGCAAATCACTCTATTCTCAGATTTGTAAAAGGAATTTTTGCAACTCAAAAAATGTTTTCATAAGAAAAAAGTTTTATTTATTTTTAATCATAGGATATTTGTGTACGTTTGAGAGTTAATAGTAGTGACATACATGTTAAATGATACAAGAGGATTATAAATTCAAATACTAAAATTAATGATCACATGGAATAAATTTATCAGTTAAATGGATTTCAATAAAGGATAGTAATTAACTGAAGTTAAATATTTAGGTGTATCAAACAGACATAAAATTGGTTAACGTAGTAACTAATAGGCAACTAATAGTGTCCAACATTTCGAATGTTGCAGAAATTAAAAAAAAAACAAAATTTTAGATCCAAGCAAGAATACCAAAATTGTATAAAAATTAGAAAACTCGAGAAAAAATGCAACATGTTCGTAGAATGAATCTTTTTGAAATATTTGAAAAGTTACAAATCAGCATAAAACTCTCTTTGATATTTAAATTCGTCGGATATATTTGAAGGCAAGTATTCTGATTTCTGAGACGACTGTTTAACAGAAATTCTGACGATAACTCTTATATTTGAACGATAAAAAATTCTTTAAACGTGAATTTTTAAGTAGTACTTTAGATTTACCTCAAAATGAGAATGATATAATACACTTAAAATATTGCTTGATTTGTGAGGGCTTCAAGATTGCCTTTGTTGGATGATGAAATAAATTTAATGTATCTCACTCAAATTTTACTTTGCTGAGCTTTCGAGTTGAGAGTTTTTATTTTGCAGTATTTTCCACTTCACGTAACATTATACTTAATACTGTTTTTTATCCCAATAGAGTCATTAATTGATAAAATAATTTTTACAAAACAATTTGCACAAAAATCATTCTTTAAACTAATTAATTACCAAAAATAATAGGAAATTTGACGAGATACTGAATTTATATTCCAAATTAATTAACATTTTACGTGTATATTTGTACAAGATTTTCGGAGCTTTAATAACAGTGGATAATGTGTTACATTATTGGATAATATTGTTCGGCTATTCGATAGAAAATTTCCCTAAAGGATAAACCTTGGCGTCTAAGACCAATTAACTTCATCCCTTTCAACCCCAACTTCCGGCATTTTATATAATTGATAGATCATTAAGTTTCCTTAATGAAATATCAAAGGTTTGGGGATACTCGTGGCCAAAATGATAATTCTCTCTTTTTCAAATCATAATCTTTCAGTTTATTGGTTTCAAAATCACTAAATCGTAACTAATATAAAATCGATGGTCAGATAATTGACACGCTGTTAATTTATGTAACACCTATTATGTTACTATGTAAATACACTGTTCCAAGTTATCATTGGGAATCAATAAGTTTTTAATATCACAGCTGTCTATTTCACAGAATGAAACTGTATGTTCGTAAAATTTTATGTGTTACATTACAACTGTTTTTACAATGGAAAATAATGTAGAAAATGCTGTGATAAGTCATAAGCACCTCGTACTTCGTAATTCTTAATTGGACTGTAAGATACAATGTGTATAATTTTGAAGATAAAAATGTTATCTTTGAGAAAACTTTTCCAGATGTGTGGATTAGGTAACTTCTACAATTAAACGCAACAAATTATAGAGATAATTTCGTGACATCGATTCGAACTCTTGAGAAATTTTAAACAAACATTTACTTAGAGGGGAAACTTTCAATTAAAAAGGACGAAATTAAACTCTGGACCAATTCCTTGAAAGCTACCTTTGAACTTTTGCAATTAAAGATTGTATTGTATTGCTCCCAGTTATCCAAAAACATTCATGAACATCCCGATACATTAAACAAATTAAGGCCGCCAAAAAGCTTTTTCTATATTTAATATCGTCGTTTATAATTTGAAACACGTTTTGCAAAACTTTAACCAGAGCTTGATCGGAAAATAGCATTTAATTTCTACAAAAACTCTTAACTTGTAGCGCTCTATTACATGTAAATTAATACAAAATCGATATCCTGGAGTAAAATGTCTGAATTTCGACGAGAATTTTACCCTGTTTACACGCTTATTTTTGTTGCAAGTGCAAGACCGGATCAGGACCACGCGAAAGCGTAATTATGCCAAGCAAGCCCTGGAGTATTTTTGCTATCGCTACAATGTACGAAAAAGGCTCAAATAGCGTAAATAAAACATTAACGATGTGAGATATGAGCGACCACAAAATGCCCATAACTAGTTTATTGTGTCATGGGGACGTAACCGTCTCATATTTACCAATTCTTTTAAATAAATACATATTGCATTTTTTTGTTACATTACGCTTTGCAGAATAAAATTTAACTCTTAAGACAATTTTAGTTTTATTTAAGGAATGAAAAATAGCGCAATTTTTATCGGATTAATACTTTATACTTAAATTTACAAAAAATATCACGTTTTCAACTTCACAAGTTGTCTTTTAACACTGTACATACTAATTTCTTAAAACAACTTTTCTTGTGAAGAATGTAATTTAGATGAAATTTACACCACTTAAAACGAAGTGCCGCATTGATCAATAATGTAACGTCAATTATTATAAATTGTGCTTGAATCGTATCTTCTTTCCTTTAAAAAAAAGACTAAAAGACAGGAGGAAATTTCAGCACTTGTGCTTGTGAAACACGGTAAAGTCTTAACGCAAGGGTGCAAACCAGTACAGTGAATTAAAGAAAAAAGACAGTGGAACATATGGCGAGTAGCTGAGAAGAATGGATGAAAGGGACGGAAGAGTGATTGAGTTATAATTCCGGATTAAAAGATTGGATAACAATAAGTTTAATTTTTTATTTTTGTGGTTTGCTTCAAGCAGATTTAAAAATGTTTTGTGGATTTTCCCTGTCGTAAATGTCTTGTGTTTAAGCAATACGATTGGGTTGAGGACATCGATTTGGCTAGGGTAGATACTCAATTGATTTGAATTCGAATTTGCGTCCGGCAGCGCTTGTTATTGTCGACCAGAATCATCGCTGAAATGTTTTATTGAGGGTTTTCCTGCAGTTGGTAGATCCAATTACATAACATTTAGTGCCAATACAATATCTTTCTTTCATTGTATTGTTTACCCTTTTATTTGCATAGCACATCCGCAAACCGATAAATTTTAGTCGATAAACGTGACACTTGAAATTTTTGACGATATTTGCGAAAAATTCATTTAAAACCTTCCCCATCTCACATTTACTCAACATTACTAAAAGCCCTCCTTTTTCATGTACCGGCAAAATGCTAAAAATTAATTTCGTTTTAAACTTGAAATGCGTTTAATCCAAAATTTTAAGAATATATCAGAAGGATGCAAAGAGCGCGTTTCCGTCTTTACTGCAATTGCATTAAGTTGTTAAATAAAAACTTGAACTGTTTAAACGAACTCCACCGTCTTTGATGTCCGAATAAACACCTGCACTATTATTTGACCATCGATTTTTCATTTCGTCGAAATAAGATGTAAAATAGCGTACTGCGATAAAATGGAATCCTTGTTTGATGTCTTATAGGTACAGAACATCCTAGCTTTAGCGGGGTTTTATATGCATACACTTGAATAGTATTTCCATAATTTCAGACTCAATGGAAAATACAACTTCGCACTCGTTTATTTTTTCTCCAAGTCAATTCTTATTAATTTTTAATATATTTGCATACACAGCTGTTAAAACACGGAAGTAGGGTTTTCATAGGGGGCGAAAATTGTAAATTACCCCCAATGTTATTATTGCTGTTGGCAAGTCACCTAATGGTGGGCGTAAAATTTTATAACCTTTAAAATTATATTTTCACCATAAACCATTCCAACCTTCGCTGGAACTCGACACAATTTCCAAAATATCCACTGCTTTATCAAATAATATAACAAAATAAACATTTTCAATATTATAAAATTAAAAAATTTACGATTTTGGTAACACTTACACAGATAGAGGACACCTGCGTCTGTCAGTTTTGTTGCCTTACTAAATTTTATTTATTCGGTTTAGTACGGTCTGCTTTACATGAGATTTCAGCTCAGTCAATTGTTATAAATTGGGTTTCATAAAAAAACTCATTTATCTTTATGATTTATAATTTTGGAAACATCATAGTTTGGGACACTGCTTGACATTTGGCAGTACACTACTGTTATTATTCCCAAAGTTTTTAATTAAAGTTACTTTAAAGTTTGCTCAACTAATAAAGCAAATGAAATTAAAATTTAATTATGACTATTACTTTTCACTAATATGAAAAAACATATTCTTAAGCTTCTGCAGCATGAAACATTAATATTGAAACGTACGGTCAGTGTAACATTGTTAATCCATATATCATTCCATTACTGATTATCAATTAAACAAAATATTTGATTTTAAATTAGGTATGACATTTAATCAGTTTACGTAGGTAGTTATAAATCAGCGTGCATTTAGACCAACATGAACATATAGCACATCTACAATAAAATATTTTGACATTATAATTCATTCATTATTATAATAATGAAAAATTTGTAACAAAAACATTATATTCAAATAAAAGTGATTTATGATGAAAGAGTGGTTTTTGGTTTCGTTGATTAAAAAGTACTGGTGCATCACTTTTAACGGTAAGTTAAACAGCAAAACAGCTTTGGGGTTACCTGACTTCTCGACAATTTGTATTCAAATCGTTAAAAGCTCATCTTAAGATACTGCTTAAATACGCATTTGCTTATTAAAAACATGGAGACGGCTAATGAATTTATC